AATCTGAGACAACAAAATGACTGGCGCTCGGGTCTTTGCTGTGCTGCGACTCTGCGAGCGAACGTTGGTTGGGAGTCGAGCATCTGTGAGCTCGCAACCCTACGACGGCGATCGCACAGAGCTCTCGAGGAGGGGAAGAAACGAAACAAGAAAGAAAAAATTGGGCTTCGAGAGTCCTCGCTCGTGCGTGTGTATAGACGTCGGAATGGGCGAACACCAGGACAATGTCAGACCTTCTCGCCTATTGTCTCTGGGCTTCATCTGAAAGGTAAGAGTTACTGAAAGTGGACGTGCGAGGAATGCCCTTGCAAGCACGCCTCATCCCAGCCCATGCAGGGAACGATTGGACCTTGCGAAGCACCTTAGCTTTTGCTGGCAGGGCAGTGTATGTGTATGACAGGGATGATTAGGCACTAGGGCAGTACGATCTCACCATAGGTTAATAGACTGTAGACTTGATGGACGCCCACGCTGAGTACAATGCGAAGCGGAAAGTGGAACGTGGGGAAAAGCAACGGTAACCATGTCCCGTTTTCCTTCCGGGCGAAGCCTGAAGGTGACGCTCGCTGCTGCATGCAAGCTTCGCCGTCCACGAGGTTAGATGAGACGAGAGGCGGGCTCGACCGTCTTCGGGTGCTACTGAGAGCTACGATATCCGAATGTCCACGTACCCGACAAGCCAAGAGGTCCACGTGAGGTTGTGGCTTCGTTACCTAGCATTGCAACACTTTGGGACGCTGTTCTGAACTCCTGGATAAGGTAGCTTGAATTCTCGTGTCCTGCAAGCGAATTTGCTTCACAAGACCGGTCGGGCACCAGTTCTCGTGATACTGGGTACAAAGTATGCAAATGGAAGATCATCAATAGCTGATAGGCGAAGCATGTCCAAGTATTCCTTAAGTGAGGCTGTTGGGCGACCAAGGGTTGATTGGACGTGGTTTTGGAGACCCACAAATGGCAGCTGAGTAGAGGGTTACCTTAGATCAAGGTGACACCAACATCTATCTTTCTTTGACGACATTCAACTTCAAGGCTATGTGATAAACCTCCAGAACCCGGCATCTTCCTTGTCCAATGGCACCACCAAGACACGATAGACGGGCATGAGGCGGCCTTAAAGACAATCTTTGCCCGACTCAGACGTTTTGATGATTGATCCAACCTCAAATTATGCTACGGTTGTGCGTTCCCAATTCTCGAAACATATGTCCGTGGTCCTCCGTTGTGCTCATGTCGCCTGACGCCCTGCGCTTGCCCTCGCACCGATTGGCGCACTCGACCATTCACCAGATATCGATCCATTGCGCCTCTATGGTTCAATAGTCAGTGTAGTGAACGCTCTTGTGTCGCTATTGGGCACCAAGCGGGACGAGGCTTGAAGTAACTGCCGCCCGGTATCCTGTCATCCCACTCTGTCTACATCAACTCCATCTTACTGCGTCTGGAGACGCTCCAGGCGCGATGTGACAGCCTCGACCAGAGCCGTCTCCCGTGAGAGGAGGGACATGACTTGCTGCAGCTTGGCCTTGCGGATCTCTGTCGGGATCTTGAGCTCCGATACCGAAGACGATGAATCCTTCCCGCCCTTGCCGTCCTCACTCTGCTTTTGAATCCGTTCCACTTCTGCCAACAATTCGTCCTTCAGTCGTTGCACGTCCTCCACACGTTTCCTGAGTTGCTTCTGCTGCTTCACTCCCGGGCTGTCTTCCGAGGGTGATCCTAGAACGCTGACCTCCATATTTTTGACTTCTGCCACGAAGGCCCTCTCCTTGGCACTGAGCTCTCTTGTTGCTGCCTTGCCAACATACTTGCGGACGCCCTCTAGTCTCTCGTTGAGTCGTTTCTGTCGATCTTGTGCCTCTGCGATACGTCTCTCGAATCGGACGTCGTCACTTTCACCGTCGCCGGCCTTGTCGTTGCCCGCAATCTTGTCAATCTTCTCCTTGACCTCGTTCGCCTTCTTAATTTGATCCCTGAGCTCGTCTTGAAGAGTAGCGCAGCGTCGGAAAATCTCCGCCACAGCTGTGCCGAGCCGGTAGGTATCCTCACCAAGAACACGATGGGCGTCAGTCAAGATCTGCAGCGTAACCGGAGACAATCTGATCTCCTGGTTCAGAATGGTCTTGTGGCGTGAGCTACGGAGTCTGTTAATCAGCTCAGGAAGGTCGGATTGCTGCTCGAATGCGTGCGAGGGCTGGAAAGCTGGACGGGGCTCATAAAAGTCCAATGGTTCCATAGTCGTAGGCTTCTCTTCGTAGGGCGTTTCGTGGCGGACAGGCGAGAAGTCGTCCTCAGGCGTCTCGAACGTCAAGGCAATTGGCTCATACGGGGTGGCCGAGAGAAGGAAGTATCCCAAATCCGGATCGCGGATGGCGGCGCATGCGGCGAGCGGCACGTTGACATCGCTTGAGGATTGGTTGTAGAGTCTTTCGCGAATAGAGTTTTGTCCGTTGACAAGAAGACCGAGACGGAAGTCAGAGCCCGCCTCCGACTCGCCCGAGAGCTCACCCTCGAGGCGGAAAACCCAGGGAGATAGAGAAAGGAAGGTGACGCCGGCGTGCGAGGTGACAAAAAGAGAGTAGCGTGACATGACATCCGATGAAAACGTCGGCCATGCGTCGTCGTTCATTTCAGTTGTGGCCATGGTGTCGATGCACTGGAACGTCAACAGTGAAGGTGGGTCGGCAGCGGACAAGAGGCGTCCAAGCTTGGATTTGTTTCGCGGGGGCAGCCATTGTGCTTCGACGCCCTCCAAGTCCAAGTACACGCGGACCTGACCGGTGGTAGACAGGAGGCAGATGACCGAGAGAGAGAGTCCCTCCTGGTCACCTTCGTCAAAGTCCAAGTCTTCGTCCTCGCCCATCATCAGGTCGTCAGTGTCCACCTTCTTCCCGATTACGAGCAAATCCGTTAGAAGGCCGTCCCCGACGTCCTCGCTTTCGGGATCGGCATCGAATTCGAACGGGCCTTGCAATCTTGGGATAACTCCCGGCCGGGAAGGGCGTGTGTAGACCTCCACGGTCTCTTCGCCGGGCGCTGTATCGAGGATTTGGGGCTCCTGAGAATCCAAATCACCCATCCACTCGAGCTGCTGCTGAGCGAGGAGCTTGTCCATTTCAGATACAGCAGGGTCATCCTCTAGGGCAGCCACCTTGGATACGATGGAAACCGAAAGCGATGGGATAAGAGTAGGAGGCGGTGCCCATTTCTGGGGCAGCAAGGGGCTCAATGCGTAGACGTCGCCTTCTCTCATCGCAACCCAGAGAGTCATAGGGCTCCATCCTCCTGAGCCGCGGCCAGCAAAGCAAGCAGAGGCCACCTGCATCTCCAGAGAGTACTGCGAGAAGCTGGCATTCGTAGCAGCCGTGGATGCGCTGAAGTCCTGGTCCAGCGTCGTACCATCCACCAGCTTCTTCAAGTCGATCGACAGTGTGGGAGAGTCAAATGACCACCGATCGGTCAATGACAACTCCCAGACGCGCACAATAGCATCGGTCGTTACGGTGACGAGGCAAGATCCCTTGACGCCAAGTGGGTGCCATACAGCTGATGCAACTGGGGATCGCGAGGTGACATGAGTTGTAGGTCCCAGTGTCCAGATCTTGGGTCGTAAAGGTCCAGTGTCCTCGGCCGTGAGATGCGAAGAATCGGGAACCACGCAGATGTGAACGGTATGCGCCGTGAGAATAGCGAGGTAATCGGAGTTGGGAGAGATGACAAGCTGCCGGATGTCGTCTGCGACAGATGTCTTGATAGTCTGTAAGACTTGTTAGCATCCTGGTCGCCCGTCCTGTTGAGGACTGGACCGAACCTACCCTGAAACCCTGAGCCGTAGCCGCCTCTTCCGTCGAGGGAATAGCATCGTCGTCAAATGATTGTGTCGAGTCCTCCCGCTTGACACGGCTGCCCATGCGACGGTGCGCATGCTTTGTCGACCATTTCTCCTTCAGGTATGCCAAATCGCCCCATCGCAATTCTTTGCCTACAGCGACAAAGACCTCGGTTCCTCGTCTCGCAATCGTCCGCCTCGGACCTTGGATCTTCTTCTTCTTGGACCCGTAGGGCGACGGGGCGCTCAACGCCTTGTTGGAGGCGTCGCTGGAGGGCGCGAACAAGCTGTGGCCGGGCCCATGCGATAGCCACGGGGCCGTATAGCTCTTGACCTTGGGCATCGCGTCCCTCTCAATCGAACGATTCGTGTATCGGGGATTCTCTGCAGGCTTTCGGATGGTCGGATGGGTGCTGCAGGCCAAATTGAGCTCGAGTGTCGTTCGTGGACTTTTTTCAGTGGTGTTTGCTGGTGAGCTTGTTGCTAGAATTATTCTTGGTCAAAAAACGCGGTTGCTGGTAGCAGCCACACCGAGACCCACTTTGAGCTTTCCCGGCGCTGCCTACATCTGCGCTGCACCAATCAGATCGACCAGACAACGGACCATGTAAGTCTTTATTCATGCCTCAGCACCTACTAGGTACCTAAGGTAAGGTGAGGTAAGGTATCGTAATTACCATCTGAAGTAGACAACTATATGGACTAGACAGCAAGAGAACGGGGTCCTCAGACTCGTTGTCATAAGTTATACTGACTATTGTAATGTTTTCATGAATGAAATAGGAGGGATCCTGTAGCAGTGGATGCATCTCTGAGGTATAGGAATAAGCCATGGACTAGTGTTTTGCCACTTTTAGATATGCTGAAGCTATCGAATCTTCTCAATTGAATCAAGAATTCAAAATCATGACCGGATAGAGTAGCTTCTCTCTAGAAATGCCGTCAATTGAATTGACCAAGTGACGTTGAAGCAACGACGTGATGTGATTGCTGCGCACAGACCATCGAGTTCAAGTCCCAGCAAGGTGCACCTGCCTGAGGTACCTTGGTACCTTTCGATTTGACTTGCAACCAGGCAAGTGCCGTTTCTCGACCCTCGACCTTCAATTCCCACTTACACGACCGACAACGAACCAATTGTCCTCCACCGCAAACCCCCAACACCTTCAGGATGCAGGTCCGGCACAGAAACACAGTAGAGCGCCTCGACAGGCCGAGCGCATACTACCACAACCGGGTGAGCAACGGCCACAGCTTCCCTCCAGCCTTCTGTCTTTCCAACAGTTCAAGCAAGGAAACAAGCAAACTCTCAAAGCAGCCAGCAGCTAATCTGAGAAAACCCCTCACAGAACAAGCGCAGGAGAAACGACAACCGCGACGCCGCCCGCGAAGCCCGCGACGCCGAAGACGAGGCCGCCACCAAGAACGAGCCCCTCCCCGAGGACCCCCTCGCCAACGCGACGACGCTCTACGTCGGCAACCTCTCCTTCTACACCACCGAGGAGCAGGTCTACGAGCTGTTCTCAAAGTGCGGCGAGATCAAGCGCCTCGTCATGGGCCTCGACCGCTTCAACAAGACCCCCTGCGGCTTCTGCTTCGTCGAGTACTACACCCACCAGGACGCCCTGGACTGCATGAAGTACATTGGCGGCACCAAGCTCGACGAGCGCGTCATCCGTACCGATCTCGACCCCGGTTTTGAGGAGGGGAGACAGTACGGTCGTGGCAAGAGCGGTGGGCAGGTGCGTGACGAGTACCGCGAGGACTTCGACGAGGGACGTGGTGGGCATGGTAGGGCGATCCAGATGCAGAGGGATCGGGACGATCGGATGGGCGAGTATGAGGAGTCGCGATGAGTGTTGGGCGATTGTGTACGGATATGTTTGGGACTGGGGAACACGTCTTTGTCCGACAAAGGACGGCATCAAAAGCAAATGGAACGTGGGAGAAGACGCAAAAGGAGAACGAGAGACTCTACTTTGGGTGGTGGGAAACAATGCTGTCGCAATAACTAGGCAGGCTTCTGGGAATCGATACCCCAATATGACACAATCATGGACATTGAAATGATAGAAACCTGGGTGCGTGATTGGAACTTTCTGCTTCAGCCTCATATTCGCCCCATGCAGTTGTACATAAAGGTGTGTGATTTTATCTCCTGAGCCCAAAGCAGATGCTATAATATACAGAGAAGCTTTCTTGTCTGCTCCTGTCCACTGCAACGGCAGCCGTCCGTTGGATCCCCTCCCCTTCCTCAGCTTCGGGTTGCGTAGAGTACATATTCGTACAAGGGCCGTGATTCCCAACAAGCCATTCTTTCCGTCCCGAGTTTCTCGCAGCCCATCTGGCCAGTCCCAATGCCTCTGATAGTTTAGTCTAGTAACCCGGCGGGTTCAATCTCTGCGAAACTCTCGTCCACTTGGGAAGTTCTGCAAAAGACACATTATCAGCTTCATACCCCCATTGGCTCGATACCACGTTGAAAAGACAAAGAGGGGGGAAACATACTGTGAATGCCCTTGCGGTACTTCTTCTCCTTGCGATCAAACATGGTATACTTGTCCCTCGGCAGCATCTCCGCCTCGGTCGGCATCTCGGCCTTCCACCGCTCCAGCGCGGCCACCGTCTCGCCCTTCTTGGCCAGCGCAGCGTCCACCGTCGCAATCACGTCGTCGACGGCGCGGAGGCGCTCGCGGTGGCGGCGCTTCTGGAACTTGGAGAGCCGCCACGGGATCTTCCAGAGGAGGCCGCTCGAGAGCGGGGAGGTCATGCGGAAGGCTCCAAACATTTTGGATGTGTGTTTGTATGTCGACTGATGGAAGAAGGGAGGGCGTAGATTGTCGAGCCGTGATGTTTCCTCTGCTCGTGGAGGACGGCTGTTCGGGGGTTCGATTCGCCTCGACTTCGAATGGACTATGTCCCAAGTGTTGTGATGATCCCTTTCCCACAAGAGTCGTATCTCGCGCTGCCTCGCAATCCGTCGTCGTCTCTGGCGTCGTCGTCGCTTGTGGTGCTCAGGAGCTTCAGCCTCTCTCCTTCAATTGACGAACAAAACCGTTCGATGCAGTCGCTTCCTAGGGAAATTTTGGAGCTACGAAAGCCGATTCAAAGTGGAGACATATTGGAGAGCTCAATTGGCTGGCTCTGCGCGCTCGTACGGAATTTCCCACCTCAATGGACCACGGTGCCAACCCGGGAGGGAGTCTCCACTGTCGTCCTGCAGGCCCGCCAGCCCGCCCCGCGGGCCCTGCGCTAAGGTTCCTGGGTAGGTGTTAGCTGTCGCTGGAGGTGAGGTGTACAGCAGCAGCGGGAACTCGGTGAGAGAGACGCGAGACATCACGATACGAAGATCCAGCAATTCTTGAGATACCCAACTCCCCCACGACGACTGCCTGCCCTTATTCCGGCGAACGCTACATCACCTTACTCTACGACTAGGGCGCTCTAATTCTGGACGACACAACCTTGTGAAGCCGCATACCTATCCTCGAACCGAACAAGCGCAACCCGGACCCTTCAAAGCCAGATTCTCACAAGCAGTCCCCGCCCACGCATGCCGCGCCAGTGATAGAGACTTCGTTGTAATCAAGAGCGCAAGACTGGAACCAAGAGATTGAAGTAAAGAAACGCCGCGCGCGCACACACGACGCAACAATGTCGTACTACTTCGCCATCGTCGGCACGCAAGACAACCCCCTCTTCGAATACGAATTCGGCACCTCAAAGCAAGGCGGCGACGGCCAGTCGCGCTTCAACGAGCAGGTCCGCCACCTGAACCAGTTCATCCTGCACAGCAGTCTGGATATCGTGGAGGAGGTACAGTGGGCGCAGGGGCAAATGTAAAAAAAAAAGATTCCCACCTCAACTCCCAACACATCCCTCCACTCGGTCTCTCGTGCTCGAGCTTTTCGCTCGCATCCATCGCAACGCAAAGACGACATGGGCCAGACACACAAACGCAAGCCTGCTGACACGATTCCTTCACCCGATACAGGTACCTCAAAATCGTAGACAAGTTCTTCAACAACTACGTCTCCTGCTTCGTCACGGCGGGCAACGTAAAGTTCCTCCTCCTGCACCAGCCCTCCGCGCCCTCCACCACGGCGTCCTCGCGCTCGTCGACGGCCATCGGCGCCAACCCCACCAGCCCCGCGACCGAGGAGGCCATCAAGAATTTCTTCCAAGAGGTGTACGAGAACTGGGTCAAGGCCATTATGAGTCCGTTCTACAGGGTCAATATGGAAGTCAAGAGTCCTGTGTTCAGGTCACGAGTTGCGGCGGCGGGTAGGAAATATCTATAGACATTGCAAGGGCCATGGTGGACGAGATAGACCAAGCGAGTCATGTTTTACAGCAGGTGCAGCCTAGACTACTCGCATTATTCAGAGTGGATCACTTTACAAAACATAAACAAGACACGCGTCACGATCAAATCACGCCAGATGAACAAGAGTGTATGTTGTGTTCAAATCACCATATTGGTTGGTGTTCCATTTCAGACAATGCGTCTGCCTATCGACGCCATGAGAGCACTATCATTCCCAGAGTCTCGTGATTCCCAAACGCCATAAATCAACGTGATGTATCCGTATCCCCATTACCGTTGAAAAGACCAATGAATCCACAACGAAAGCTCGCCTTTCAGCAGTCCAGATACCACGGCGCCATGGCATCCGAGTCGCGCAAAAGGCAAAGCAACCATCGAAGTGATACGCTTAACCACCGAAACCGTACAGGGTGCGGCCCTGGCGCTTGAGGGCGTAGACGACGTCCAGGGAGGTGACGGTCTTGCGCTTGGCGTGCTCAGTGTAGGTAACGGCGTCACGGATGACACCCTCAAGGAAGGACTTGAGGACACCACGGGTCTCCTCGTAGATCACTAGAAGGGGGATATGTTAGTACACTATTGATGAGCATGGTAGAGGATGTTGATTCAACTTACTGGCAGAAATACGCTTGACACCACCACGACGAGCGAGACGGCGGATAGCGGGCTTGGTGATACCCTGAATGTTGTCACGCAAAATCTTGCGGTGACGCTTGGCGCCGCCCTTTCCGAGGCCCTTGCCGCCCTTGCCGCCTGGAGGACGTTAGTATCATGATAACTACTAAGTAATAAAGACTCAAAGTAGAGAGCATGATGCGACCAGAACGAGACGCGTATCCGCGATGGATGAGGTTGAGACGCGTTCTAAAGCAGAGACGCATACCAACGGATCCTCATCCATTAAACCGCGGGGTTACGCCGCATTCAAAACGCGCCACGACACCACGACAAAGAGCAGGGTCGAGTAGGTAAAACAGAGATGCAACTTACGTCCAGTCATTGTGTATGAGGTTGTTGAAGTAGATGCTTAAGTGGATGGGATAAGCGCGTCTCGATAAAGACGTGTCGTTGATGACGTTGAAAGTTGGTGTTGATGGATACGTTGGGTGTGGGAAAAGAGAAGAGTGGGAATGGGGGAAAGAAGAGACAGCTGAGGGGGGTAAAGAATAAATAAGGCGGTGATGCAAGTCCGGGGGGATGGTTACTGATTGTGTGGTGCGGCAGGCGCTGATGGGATCAGTAGGCTAGTCCCGATTTGGCGAGTGCTCTTTATTTCTGAAAAAACGGGCAATTGTCCTCTATTTTCCGCCGGGAAATCGGGACTCTTTGGCTGACATGGTTGCTTAACGAAGCGCTATTTTGACAGGCGCGCTTTTTTGTTATGGAACGCTGCACGCATTGTTGGGTGGGGGTGGAACGTGCACGGCTTCTTTTTTTCTAGTCGGGGGAAGGACCCAACTTCCCAAGGGGACCGGGCCAAGCAGAAAGAGCCGTCGAAAGCAGGGGGGGTGTTGGTTGCCAAAAGCAGAGGTCAAGGCAAGTGCGGTGACTTTTGACTGGCCCGAGCTCTCTCTTTCCACTTCAAACTCCAGACATTGAACCATTGTCGCGGTCACGCGTCACCAATGGTCTTTTTCCTAAGTTCCTGCACTCTGCCAATGGCCACTGCCGCTCCCGATTTGCCGACCGCTTTCATCTTTCACGTTTCTTTTGCTCAGCGAGACTTATTTTTGATTGGTCCAATTTTGCCATCCTCCTCCCCGCTGCTGGGTGTTCATGCAATTGCAAGGGGAGTCCCGTAAATCAGCCCCTCCCTCTGCCGATTCACATGACTTGGGACCTGGTGGACATTCAGATCGAGGGAACAGTCCCATCTGCGACTCATAATCCGGGGTAACGGCCTTTCTCAAAAGGTTTTGACAGCCCAGGAGGCCAGATTCATGGCGCATTCCGCCCCTGGTAACGAGCTGGCCGGCCTCTAAAGCCTAAGGTAGATCTGACGCGACATGGATCACTCCGTTAGACCTTAGTGATCTGCCGGTGAAGTTGGTCCGCAGGTAGTGTCACCTAACGAAACTGGTATGATGAGGACGCTTGCGCCTACTTTTCTGTGTGCTTCATCCATCACCATGCACCAAAGGGCAATGACCATCAAAGTTAGGTGATGCATTACTTTTCATGACCAGCGATCTGTCGTATCAGTCACTACTGCGGCGCCTCATAGGGCGCTAATATACAAGAGGGTCATCCATTCAGCCCTCCCCAAGCAAGCCAATATGCAACCCTGCTGTACTTTCCTAAACGCCGATGCCATGCAGCATGCAACATGAATCCGTGTCATCGTGCTGTTATACCATGCCCAAATTCAAAGCTTGGCCAAAACTCGCTTTCGTCAAGTCGTGGGTACCCAGACTCGTTGCCAATTCTCGCACCCCCCCACAGAAAACGCACGCACAATCGCCGACGCCCTTCCGCTCCTGTCGGTACGGTAGGGCAAAAAAGCCTTAGTCGAAGACAACCTTCTTTCTCCTTTCATCCTATGTCATCATGGAGTCTTCCATACCCATGTCATCCTCGATACTCTCGATGGCGTCCTTGATCGATTGACTGGCCTGCTCAGACTGTTAGCTCAAATGTCTGCTGTGCTGTCCTGACTGGGTAACCTTACCTTTGGATCTAAAGCAAGAGCATTGCTGAAAGCGCGCACCGCCATTTGTTTTTCATTCAGGCTTCTGTACAGCTTGCCAAGAAGGAAGTGCACCATGGCTTCATCAGGGGCCACGTCCTTCAGAATGAGCAGCTCTTTCTCCGCGAGATCTATCTTGCCCAGACTCATCAGCGCGCGTGCTTTTTTGTACCGTACTATGGGTGCACGCGGGGCCAGGTCTGTCGCCTTGGTGTAAAATTGTAGCGCAGCTATCATTTGCTTTTGCCTTTCCAGGATTGCTCCGATACGGCAAATGAGGACAGCATTGGTCGGGTTGATATCGGATGCCGTATGGAAGTGAACGTAGGCCTTTTCGTAGTTGCCGAGCTTCTCAAAGACCTGGCCAATGCCATAGTACGCGTTGTAGTGACGTCGATCCGCCGTGACAGCTTTTCGGAAGGCGCTGAGAGCCTTTTCGTACTCTTCGTTGGCAACGTGCTCGTGGCCTTGAAGCGTGAAGGCATATGCAAACTTGGGGTTCAGCTGCGTCGCTCGCTTAAAGCAGCGCAAAGCCATTTCATGCTCCCTTGCCAACGACCAAGCATTGCCGAGAGCGCACCAGGCTTGAGGGGATGTCCAGTCGGCATCCACCAGCTCATGAGCCAAGAAGGACAAGTCCGTCTCCCGCTTGAGATGCCACAGAATCGTCGAGTAGATTTCCATGTCGTCCATCCGCGTCGGCGCCACCACGCGTAACTTTCTGAAGTACTTCTCGGCGTCTTTGTACGAACCCTGTTCGTGATGCGCTCGGCCCATTTGCGCCAACACCCAAGGTGTATCTTGCTGGCTCCTTGGTAGGGAAGCATAGAATTGCAGCGCCTCCTGACACCGGAACGCTTTGAGTGAGTAGTACCCAGAGGCAAATTTCTTGAGCAGCTCCATGACCCATCTCAAAGCTTCCTCGATTCTGACGTTGTCTAGTTCGTGTGAGGCAGCTTTCGGTACTGCGTGCTGTACCGCGTGGGGCTCTCTCACACGGGTGGTCTCGGCATGATCAACATCCATGCCACTGTCCTCAACCGGCTTGCGATTGCCGCTCACGACCCTGCCAACACTGGAGCCACTAGACCCAGGTCGCATTATCCGTGAGATCTGGGGCCTAGCCTTCTTCAGCTCACGAGTTGCTGCGGCGCCGATGGTAGCGGCACCGGAATTCGCTTTAGCAATTGAGGGTTTGTTAAACATGTTAAGCCTGGCACTTCTCCGTTGTGCAGGTGCGTTGGCTTCTTCCGTGTGTTGCCTAGATACCGGATGGCCCGAAACCGTCCTCTTCCGCTCAGTGGGTGCCATGGTCGACCGCAGAGTGCCGGTCCCAGTATCGGAATGCAGCTCGACTGAGTCCTTGTCTTGGCTTCTGGTACTTCTTTTGGCACCTAGCTTGTAACTGACCTTCGGTGGGGCTTCGAAAAGGCTGGGATCCACGGCCTGGGCTGTTCTTGTCCTCCGTGGCGGCGCTTGCGGTGGCTCCGCAGCGTTGAAAGCTGAACGCATTGTAGGGACCTCTGGCATAGACACTGGGCCGGTGGGTGTTTCCATGAGGTCGAGTTCACCGTTGCTCGTGGACGGTGGGGCTAGCCTAGATCTTGCTGCTGTGATTTTTGACATGAAATCATTCTCCTCTGCTTCCGCGGAGAAGAGATTGGCACTATAAGGCATATCCTGATATGTGGAGGATCGATGGAGGTTGAATGGGTCAGATGAGTCCGCTGTTGATCGAATCGGAGGCCGTTTTGGCTCAAAGGAGTTTGCCGAACTCTCCTTTGGCTCCTGGGGCAATACTCCCTGCTCCTGTTCAAAACAATGAACTAGAGGATCGGTGACCTGGAAAATATTGGGTACACGCAACTTTACTCCCATGTCGCTGAGTGCCTGGAAGGCATCCCACATGAAAGGGTTGACTCTCACTGCAGTCTCGAAACACTCGATTGCCCTTCGCTTGTCGTCGTACGCCCGATACAGCTTGCCCAACAGACACAGAACCGCAGCTTCGTCTGGATAGAGCGAGCGGGTCGAGGTGGTGTGCTTGCCCATGTTCGTCTTGCCGATCCATTTCTCTCGTGCTCTTTCTAGGGCATTGATGCCGTCTTTGTATCGTTCCAATTTGACGCATGCGTGCGCAAATATCCAGGCAGCGCCCAAATTCGTTCCACGATAAGCTGATGGCCTGCTAACTTCGAAGGCAGTTCGGTGGTCACCGAGACGGAGGTGGCATAGAGCCAGGAGATGTGCAGACTCGCTCGACTTGGGATCTTGGGCGCTTAGCCTCTCGGCGAAAAAGAGGGCGTTCTCGTAGGCATTGTTGTCGACATGGTAGTACACTACCTGCCGCAGCAGCCCTGTTATGGCGGCACTCGTGGGCGCCATTCTCGGTGGGTGTTGGAAAAGAGGTGGGCGGTTCGGTGGAGGAGGGTTAACGTCCACGGCAGTTTATGGCCATGGGATCTCGCGGGTGGTGCAGCAACTATTGAATTTGAAGGATAGATATCGCGGTCCTCGGTAGCGTCCCGATGCACTGAACGTGCAGCTTTGGTCGGGAAGCGTTATTCGGGTTCTGTCGAGCTTGGGTATAGGATTTTGTGCAGGCGCAAAAAGTTGCGTCCGTGAATTTCGAGGTGGGCGTTCGCGCAGAGCCTGAGGCCGAGAGCAGCAAGGATGCTGGAGGCGCGTTTGTGTCGACAGATGATTGAGGATTAACAATTATAGAGCAGCAGAAGGCGAGAGTGCAAGGTCGAATTGAACCGGTAAATGCTGCAAAAGGCGACGGCGAGGTTCGTAAGGTCGTAGAAGTGGTTCAATGGGCAGTTTGCGGATTGTTGCCTGTCGGGGCGAAGAAGGCGTTCGTTGCGTGGTGGGTCCCCGTGGATTGTTGTTTGGGTTCGGCAACAGGTGGGCAGTGAGTAAACTCAGTCAAAGTGCAGCAGTATCGGCTCTTTGCAGCAACACAAGACAAAATTCGCGGTCCATCTGACTGACTAAACAGAGCGCACCCAACAGAAAGCAAAACGGGCGCAACGAGAACGCAGCGAGATGGGCACGGCAAAAGACTCCCCAGGGAACGAGTGAAGTGGAAGTGAACAGGATGGAGGGGGAGGATGATGGGGGGTTGCTGTCCAGAGGGAAACAGCCAGGCGGGAGGCGGGTGACGAACGAGACTCAAAGTGAGCGAAGTGAGAATTCTCCGTAGCTCGTCAGATCAACAGGCGTCAGGCCAGATCAACCGTGCACTCTGCGTGGGATGGCAGGAGGGAAGGGGAGAGAGGTAGAGATGGTCGTGAAGGTGTCACTTTAGGTCCAGATCCAAGGCCATGTTGCGGCTTTCCATTATGTGCATGTCCAGTCAGCGTCTCTTGCTCCAAGTCTGGACGATGGTGTGTTGACCTGACTGCGGCGTTTCCTTCCTTAGGTCGCGCTTGGTGTGGTGACACTACAAAGCTGATTGGCTCATACGATACCTCAGCGACCGCCGCCGTCTTTGCCCAGCAACCCGACCGGAAGAAGCGCCTACCAAAAGATACTTAGATACCTACTCTAGCTGACCAGCCCCCCTGCCGCCAGCCCCCCACCTGCCAGCCCGTTCTGTCGTTCTGTGTCCGCGTCGCTGTCGCAGTCGCAACGCCTCCCCCGTGCCTTCCCCTTGCGCCAGAGACATTTACCCGCCACTTTTCGCTTCCATCCCCGGGGCTCCACTTATCGCCGTCTGCCCGTTCCATTGGGTCCCGCCGCGCCTGAGCCACAATATCAGCCATCCGCCTCGACTGCTGGAATTTCGTCACCCTGATCCTTTCAGCCTCAATTCCAACAAGGTCGCAACCTGTCTTCTACTCCCAGGAACGTTGGACCCCACTTTCGAAGACAGACATCATTAACTTAATTGACTTGACCTCACTCACGTTCTCGAGGCCTCTAATCGTCACAATACCTTACTCCGTACCTTGCATCCAACTTCATACCCCACGAAACAACCCTCAGCATCCTCCACCATGGCGCAAAAGGCAAAGAAGGACAGAGCCAAATCCAATGCCACCACCTTGAACAACCTCCACATCGGTTCCGCCGTTGTCAATGTCGCCTTTCTCATCTTCTACTTCATCTTCAAGTCCCGGTCTCTCTTCTGGTTCATCCTGCTCTCCTCTCCGGCCCTCATCTGCGAGTACGTCCTTGAGAAATCTGGCCGTCCCAAGTACGACGCGGGGGGAGGCCTCAAGTCCTCTGGCGAGGACTTGGCCGCTGCGGGCTTGACCGAGTACATGTTCGACGTCGTATGGGTGACTTGGGCCTCCGTCATTCTCGTTATCTTATTCGGCAACTGGGGTTGGTTCCTGTGGCTCGCCGTGCCCGCCTACGGCGCATACGCTGGCTATGGCTTGCTCGGAGCTGGCAAGCGTATGGCACAGATGGGCGCTGCGAACAGCGATGAGCCTGCCCCGCCCGCCAACAGGAGGCAGCGTCGAGCCGCATAGTCAGAGTCACATCTTGTGCTGCCTAGGACTTGAGCGCTACGAGCCAGATTATCTGTTCTATTCTACCGGGAATGCAGCGACTAGGTCTATCTGTGCCAGGATTGCTCCTCGGACCACTTCTTGATGACTTCCGGGTCGACGTCCCGCACCAGCACGTGGATGTGCTCCAAGGCCCGGACGCTCTGAAGGGCGACCCAATTCTTAAACCAGATAACCCTGTCTTCTCCGACATCACCAAGAGTTTTGACAAAGTACCTGTCAATGAAATCCTGAACAGTGCGCCTGCTCTCTACTGTCATGTCCCCGGTCTCAGGGTCCGTAGGGATGATGGTGCGCGACCAAACCACGATATGGGTGATGCCTGGGTCAAGTCCATACGGCCAATCGTTGACTAGAACCCGGTAATCGGAAGGATCCTCAAAAGGCACGATGGACTTGGGAGTAAAAGGTGGTTCGCCCCAGGGTTTGGGTAGGCGGTTGGTGAGAAGGAACTTGGTCATGGAGCCGTACTCGGCCTTAGTCTCGGCCGTCCATTTCATGTATCGACGAAGGTCTGACGGCTTTCGCTTCAAAACCTCGAGCTTATTTGTCGCTGGCGTCTAATCAGATCTTTGAAACAGAATATCTATAGAAGACGCAACGCAAACGCGCTTACCAATGATCTCCTTGAGCTCCTCCCAGCCATGCTTCTTGAACTCCTCATCTGTCTGTGAGAGGACCCACTTATCAACGTCTGTGAGCGGGAAAGGTGCCTCTTCAACTGGAACGTCACCCATGTTGAGTATTTAGCTTGAGTAAATAGGTAAGCTATATGTCCGGCTTGTAATGGGTGTTGGGGCGAGTAAGTGAGGCCTTTTCGGAAGATAGGATGTAGTCGTTTTCAAGGACGGGAGTAAGGATAAGCGTGTCACGAAGTTGAATAGTTGGCGGTAAGTAACGGCTGTCTGGTGCGGGCGGCCCCCGAGCAGCGGAAGATCAGCGGTCCGATTTCCTCTTTGGGATACGACAAGCTACCATGTAGGGCAGGGCGACAACTTTCACCTCATAGTTCATCCCATTTCTCGAGCACCGATGATGCTGCTTCCGGTTATTCAATCTCTTTGCACCGTGTTACTAATACCAAAAAAGAACCGGGAAGAAAGTCACCAGGCATCGATAGCTCGCCGAGGTGTCGTCAGGTGCTAGTGCTGCAAGGGATCCGTGCTTCTCAGGTACCTGGTTGAGCCGAGTGCTGGCTGCCTCTGCACGAGGAAGTAGGCACCTGGTAATCAGGCCTTGACCTGAGCAATCCTTCCAGACCTTAATTCGACATTCTCGTTACGTCGAGAAACAGGCGGACGCTCGTAGTTGTTGCCGAATGTTGAGTGGAAGGTGTGTCTGGCATTGATCGGGCAACTTCGACCCTGGTTCGGCAAGCAAGTCTTCTAGCGATCTTGAATAACGGGGAACCCCATTTCAACTTTGGCCCAACCCCAACTCCAACCACCTCGCAAACAAGACGACGAAATTCTGGCATCACTCGAACTAAAGTGTTACTCTACGCATGCACAAAGTCTTGAGATAATCACACTGAGCACCAGCCCAACATGGATAACTCGACAGACGCCGCCTTTGCGCATCCTTACTACCCAGTCACCGCTGCCCTACCACACTATGTCACCAACAAAAACTCCGTTCTCAGCTTGCTCGTATTCTTCGGGAGCATAATATCCTTCGTCGTCTTTACGGCCGTCGCGGGTGCTAGAAATACCTATCCTCAGCTGAAAGCCTCGGACCAGCTTACCGTGGCTTGGTTTGCTCTTTGTGGGTGGTGCTCAGAACATTGCTCGCCCAACTCTGGCTAATCGCTTCATTCACGCAGGCGGTTTCCTTCACTGTTTCTTCGAAGGTGTGTTCGCGATTCTTCGGTTCCTCTCAGTCCAAGTCTAACGTCTCCACAGGATACTTTATCCTCAACCACAAGAGCCTGGCCAGTGACCAAAGTCTCTTCGGCCAGCTGTGGAAGGAGTATGCACTCTCCGACTCTCGCTACTTGACCTCTGATCCATTTATGCTCTGCGTTGAGTCCTTCACAGTAGTAGGTCGCACTGCTTCTTGGTATTTCGAAAGAGCCCAATGTTGACCAAGATTCCAGCTCGTATGGGGCCCCCTCTGCTGGGCCATCGTCATCACTACTGCCAATCGGAACCAGTTGCGTTACCCATTGCAGATCATCATGAGTGTTGGGCACCTGTACGGCGTCGTGCTTTACTACTCAACCAGCTTGATCGAGTTCTACTCCAACGGAGTATCGCACAGCAGACCTGAGTTCCTGTACTTCTGGGTCTACTACATTGGTTTCAATGCTCCTTGGGTCATTGTGCCTGCGAGTAAGTCAACATTTCTTCACCCCTCGTTCTTCCGTTGTTTCTGACGCCGTTCTGCCCTAGTTATTCTCTACCAAACCACGGTCCATATCAAGAGGCACCTCACAGACCGTGCGGACGTGGTGGCCAAGCTGAACAGGATTGATGGCATTATGGGCGACAAATCTTGGCAGACGTACGTGCCTAAGGACGAGGAGAAGAAGACAAACTAGCTTTATGGTAGCTGTATAAGTGGTGGTTTAATTATGCCGAACTGTCTTTGCGGTGGAGTAGATTCATAACACCACAAGGCTGATCCAATTAAAACATGTTCACCACCGTTCGATGACCACCGTCAGGCAGGCTCACACTCCTTCTCCATATGAACTTTTGGTTCTCGAACATTTCTGGAACCAATCGAGCGCGATTTGCAGCCTTCCCGTTCGCCATGTTGTACAGCCGCGCTCCTAGTGAGTGGAGTCAGCTATCCCAAATTGGTAGTTATAGAACGCACTTGAATAGCGACGCTGAAGAAATAGAATGCTCGCGATGTATATAAAGGGGAACAAATGTCCAGACATGAGGGAGACGAGAACATTCAACCTCCTCACTTTCAAGCATCTCACCCAAAATCTTGTCATACTTCACAATGCAATCCCTTAACTTTCTTCTCGCTGCCCTTGCCGCGACAGCAGTTAGGGCAACCTGTCTCCCATCATCCCATGGTTCCCCTGCCTTCCCGTCATCCATGATCACCTTCTCTGCCGGCTTCGAACAGCCACAGCCACCTCTGATCAAACCAGAGTATCAGGCCAGTTTTGTTCAGCATAAATGGTAACTTTTTCCCCGACCGGTAATAATGTTACATTCTTTCTAATCGCGAGAGCCAGGAATGTGAACCTATCCCACATCACGACTGGTTACATCGACAATTCCCCTTCCGGTGCTTTCGTCCGTGTGGGCGAAGCCTACGAGGGTCAGATCTCGTGGTCGTTGTTTGACTATTCCAACGTTAGCGAGTCAGGCCTCGTGGACAACACGATGACGACGTATGGCCCGAACTCCACCACCCCGAGCGTGTGGAGGGGTTACGTGAACTCGAATTTCCCCATCTTCCAGAGTGATATTCTGGTTGAAGCTGGAGCAGTCTACGAAGGACTCGTGCAGAGGGATTTCATCCCATCGCCTGTTGCCGCGGTAAGAGACCCCTGCTATCTCAATTCATCTCCCGTGAACCGTCGAGTTGACCATTTGTTCAGTGGAGCATCATGTACCAGGGTGCCATTCCGGTGACGGTCTACGTCAATGAATGCAATGTTGTCGTTGGCTACGACTACTTTGCCCCTGACTTGCGAACCCGAGTGATCATGGAGTTCTTCAATATCGAGGCAAAGTGAGCTTTGAACCGCGTTTCCCCGGGGGCTTCGACACTCGCGCCATACATGTTCGGCTTGGCCTACTTGACTTCATTTCTTGATCCATAGAGGCTCCTGCTCGGTACACTCAATATATTTCAAGTGTAGTCCCGTGCCATTTCCGCGTGCTGGTATTCCCACAATTCTTGTAAATCCCTTTTGATTCTCCCAGAGACCGCGAACCCTTTTGTTGCTATTCTGTCAAGCAATCTCACAATCTCATCCCTTTGTAAAGACTGACTTGTGTTTGCTCCAGCCATTCGGAGAGAGAACAGGAGTAATACCCCCGGTATGTTGGAATATTCGAGGATTTGGTTTGACAGATCTACCACAGCGGTTACATGCGCCTCAATCTCATGTGCTGCTAGCGAGGGGATGTCTTGCCCCTCCCAACATGCGTAATAGGCATAGTTTCTACACAAGAATAGTTGGAGAGCATTGTAGTTTGATAAAGCTAGCATGCGATACGGATCACGGTGATCAAAATACGGTGTGATTTGGTCGTGCCAGCTGCAAAGTCGCTGCTGGAAACGTCGACCTTGCTCAGCTAGAGCGTGTATCGCCGGGTGCCCAGGTCGAAGTGTGTCCGGAATTGACTCGATACGGTCGAAGAACCTATCAATATTTTGAGCTCTGATTCATTTCAGTCAAGAATGCGGCTTGCTTACGCTTTACTAAAGGAAGAGATTTCGATCAGGAGGTCGAAGACTGCCTCTACTTGACTTGCTGGGTTTGCGACAAGATATCCTCGAGACTTTGACCACGGCTCCTGCGATAAAAACGTATCTTCGCCGTACAGAATCGCTCGGTTTGCCTCTAGCGATCTAAACGCTCCGAAGAGTCTCTTGTCAAGCTGACACGACTGACCCGTCGCTCCTACGCTCTGGATGATCCTAGCCGTCCCGTAGAGCATGTGTTTGGCCCACAGGTCTCCAGAAGTTTCAGTCATCAACTTCAACTACCAATCAGTAAATGCGATTCAAAAAGCGAGACATGGTTGAGGTATTTCACCTCGAATAGCCCAAGAAGTAGCGTGCACCAGAGAACTCCACCGCAGCGGAACGCGTCTGATACCTGCAGTCGAGCTCGGAGCGTCTTGACGGCTTCCCCGTATGACACAAAGGCAACGGTGTAAGGTGGCTGCTGCCCGCGCGAGGACTTGACGGTCGCGCGCCGGCTGGCTTCGAGTGCGCCAATCGCTGTCACTACTTGCCCGAGTGGCAAGCATGTTTGGGCCAGGGGTAAGAGGTCGGCAGCCAGGCCGCTGAACTCATCTGCAAACAGACAGCGCTTCATGAAGAGATCAAAATAGTCAAGGTAGAGTATAGCGCTGGGTATGTTGACGTGTGCCGGTAGTCCAGCGACTTGCATGCCTTCTTCGGAGGATCCGGGGCTGATGAAGTGCACTTCGGTCGTAGATGTGGCCTGAGGTAGGCAACGCTTCTTGGTTCGAGTACAGTACTCGCAGGGAGAACCGCCTTGACACTGATTTGTGATTGCTGTGTGTGAGTTCAAGTAACGCCATATGTGGGAATGAGCTGTGTATAGGTACCTACCTTGATACGCCTTTTGGCGCATGGCAGACAGCGAGTCCGTCTCCTGCGGTGATCCAGCGGACCGACCTCACGCTTGATCTTCATTTGAGTGTGCGGATATGAATGTTTATGTGTCAAAGTAGAGTTCCATCTCTCGAAGGCGGGATTCGAACAGGAGGTGCACAAAATAGTAGCGCTCTAGATGTCTCGGGAGTGGTCACTGGTGGCAGTGCGGACTTATACGAAAGCTCCACAGCCACCCCGTACTAGTAGGCAGCTTTACTCGATTTAGAAGTAATTGAGCGCAGTGGACCCTCAGCAGCGCCTGAAAGCGCAAAAGCTGATCCCTCAACTGATCGAATATACTCATGACGCTGCGAGACAGATATGGTTGAAACTTGTTTACTGTTTAATACCCACCATCGGGCAGGCCCATGCGTCTTCAACATATGATGGACTGGGCTAGCATGATAATTGGAGGACCATAGTACGTACTTGGAAGTTGGAGAAGCCAGAACCCCCATCGGCCACCACCACCAAAACCCACCACATCCGCCCATGCTATCCATCGTCACCAACCACGACAAAACGACGATAGCTTCACAAAACAAAACTTCAAAAACATACAACACCAGGTATTCGCTGGTCGTCACCGACCCAACTACTAATCCGGCCCTCATTGGCTTGTCTATGGGAGAGCGGACGGGATCCCGAATTTTCCAATGGGTATGGTCGTATGTGGTAGTCCCAAGGGAGAAGCAGACTTCTGAAGCTTAGCGTGCGGTGGTGCCCACTCGATCTCCATGAAGCGATACTTTAGGTCATTCCAAAACTGGTCTCGGCTCTCAATCAAAGCTATTACTTCGTTATTGAGTTTCAACCTCGGTTACTTGCAGGCGTCAACGGTTTTCCCTGAGCTACCTTATGTCGTGGTTGAAGACCCATCTGCCGTTGAGGTGGGGAAAATGCCGCCGCTGTGTTGTCAACACACATGACACCCGCGCCTAGAGGCACAACTCACGGCAGATGGGAACGGCATTCGATGAACATAAAAACATCAAATTCAGTCGTCTTGGATTATCGGCGAGTCGGCGAAGAGCTTTCTTCGAGGAAACGCGTGCACGAGGAGTATGCCCTGCACGTTTTGGGGTTCACCTCCCTATGGCTTATTCCAGTAGATGGAAGATCAACGCTATAGCAGATCGGTGTTGGTTCTAAGGAGAACTCCTAGTATACAGCCAGAAATTTTTGCTACACTTTCATGAGGCCCAGAGTGCTCTATGTTATTAGTCCAAGCCGAGAGACGGTATGGGTACGTAGACAGGAAACGACGGCTTCAGCTTAGTGACAATATAGGCATTACAAACCCGACATCCTAAGCTATCTTCAAGTCTCCGAGACTTTGCACCAAGTTGTGAACATAATCCATGGTGTTCTCGTCATACACCGTACCTCGGGTCTTGTCAAACGGCCCGCCACTTGGGCCAGCCGTGTTCAACTCGATTTGCGACTTATCCAGCATCAACTGAGCAAGCATCCAAAACTCCTTTGCGTGGCGTATGAAACCCAGCCGTCGCCACATTTCGTCGCACAGCAGGAGACCGGGTGAATTTTCAACGACCCAGCTGTCGGCCTGGTCGTAGAGCGAAATCCATCGGTTCAGCCCCATCTGAAGGTGCCACGATCCGCTGTTGGGCGCGAGGGATACTTCGTAGTGGAACCCGAGGGTGTGTAATGCTAAGTTATACCACGTAAGCGTCTGCCCTCGTTTGCGTGTAAACAACACCTGAAGTACCATGAAAAGGAAAGATTCAATTGAAGTAAGGTACATACCAGTGATGGCCGTGAACAGATTCAGCATGCTGAGACCCGCTAGACCTTCGCAAGTTTCTTCGTCGCTGAGGTGGTTGTTGCACATGGCCTCGACGAGATCGACGACCCGCATGTGAGCTTGTCTCGGTTCGCTCGAGGTCCAATTGTGTAGGAGGACGAAGCACTCTTCTTGAGAGGACGCTTGGAAGCAGGAGTCGGGACAGACGATACTCATTCTCATCTCGGCGACCACGAGTCTCGGAGGTGAGTTGTGGAAGATGACAAACGCACCATCGAGTAGGAAGATGTAGGTCCCGGTTCTTTTTGTCGCACATCAGACTCTGCTTGCCTTTTTGGGAACTCCATGCCTCCTATGTGGTAAACTCACCGAATAAGCATCTCCAGTAAGACAAACCTTTTCCAGCTGAAAGTGGAGGAATCATCAACCGGCAGCTTATGACGGGTAAGATCATCCAAACCGAAGTCTCTTGCTGCCTGAAAGTACGGTGGTCAGCTGGTAACGGGAGGACTATGTGCAAGATTTGGATCTGACTTACGTCCAAGACAACAGCATATCTGTTCCTCCGAATACGACGTTTACTCGGTTTAACACCCTCCCAGTACTGTATCAGACAAACCAAGTAGGCAGCTTGGATCGCTTCGAGTCGCCTATAGACCGCGTCATCGTCACATGAGATGGAATCGTCAACAGTGATAGACTCATCAAGAAGAGCCTCGTCGAGGAAGGCGAGGTCCTCTACACTGTTGAACCAAATGTTGGTGTTCGCGCGGACGCTCGGCGACGGAGAGAGGCATGCTCCCAAGACGGCCATGGCGGCGATGAGCAAGGGTGATGCGTTGGAGGTCGAGAAGGATGGTTTGTGAATGATGGGGCAGTTGGGATACCAGCATGACCAGAATAGCTCGAGGTTGTCTTGTAGTCTTTGAGGGGAGAAGAAGTTGTGGCAGGAAAACTCGATGGAGCTGGACCAAGAGATGTTGATTTTGCTGCCTCTTGGTTTGCTGATGGTGATGTCTTTAAGCATTGCGACAATCTTGCACGTCAGGTCAAGAGACTCCCCCACTTGGAACCTGGAGAGTTGATCGTCAGACCGGTTATTGAGGCTGTATTGGGATTCGGTCGAGAGCGAGACAGAAGGGGTCTGGCTACTGCGCCATGATATCTTAGGCTCTGCGGTTAGGGGAAATACCGAGCGCAAGTAGTTGTCCCAACTGCGACCATCGCACCCGAGGTTTGGTCTCCGGATCTGCTGGAGTAGTAACTGTCGTTCTTGGAGTGAGCCACATTCGAAGGACTGCGCCAGACCCGCGAACTTGGTAAACCTTTTCATATAGTTAAAGTGATATTTGATCGTGTTCTGTGTCTGGGTCTCGTATGGGAAGTCGAATGTGGAGTAGACCAGGTCGGGAATGAGCAGGTCGGGCGCTTCTTCAGCATGGTAATGGAAGGAACCACCTAGATCTAACTCGTCGGTCAGGGGTTCGTCTAGATATGTATCTAGAATGCCGCCTCCAGTTGCAGGCATGTAAAATAGGTCGTTTCTGGAAGCGCGCGCATCGAGTGGTGTGGTCGGGACTGGAGATTCTTGGGCCATGGATCGTTCCGTCAGAGTACCTGATTTAGCATCGCTGCGGTTGTTGTCTGCCATAGGTGATGTATCCCGTTGTGTATCATGCGCAGCCAAAGTATCGTTCTCATCGCTGGCAATCTGTGCTGTATACGTGCAAGGCCTGTTGTCTTTTAGACAGGTACGACATGGCCACTGAGAGCTGCAAGCTCGCTTCCGATGACTGCAACGATCGCAGGCTGTCTTCTTCTTGCCTCTAGTGTTTTGAGGGAGTTGCGGAATCTCTACGTCGGCCCGAAGCCTCTCTTTGCAGGCCTTGAAATGACGCTTGAGAACGTCTCTGTTCCGAACGTAGTTGGGCTTTAGCATGGTCGTCCCTTCACACGAAATGAGCTTACTTGCCTGCGCCCGAAAGATTGCGAACAGAAATGGCAATTAAATGGGCGGTTTGTACTATCTGTGGCGGAGCCTAAACGTCAGAAATTCCAATGATCGAGCGTGGATGATGGGAGATTGGGCTTATATACGCATCACTTCGTGGCGTTGAAGATGTTCGAGACGTGTGAACTTTCGGTCGCACACTTGGCATGTGATGCCAGAGGTAGCAGAAGAAGACAGCGTGCCGGAAGCCATGATTGATTAAATTATCAGTGTCGGGGATCATGGGGCGCCGAATAGACACTACGCGTGGGTGATCGGGGGTGATGGTTCTTCAAGGCAACATGTTCATGAAATACCGTTTGCTTCCCCAGACATTCCCCAATGTGGATCTGCGGGGAACCGCGCCTTGCCGGGAGGATCGGCAGAGAGGGGGCGTGAAGGGCCGGCTATTTCTGGCTACACTGTCTTTCGAGTGTGTATCTTTATTTCGGCACCTCACCTGAATTATGTTTCTTCGACATGAGCAGCGTGAGTTTGGTCAGAGACTCGAATGCAAGGCTTTTTGATCTGTTTCTTGTGCCTAACTTCAGTTGTTTGATACCAATACTTCATGCGATGCCTATGTATGGGCCGATCTGGATGATTCCCATTGTCCGAGTGAATCCATCTTCCCACCAAAAGCTAAACACTAGTCACTGATCTAGATCAATATCTACGCTGTACGCGTACCCAGAAATTCCTCTGAAAAGCAAACCATTGCGTCTTTGTTTGCCAGGGGCGGTCCAAATCCACCAATGAAGCATCAAACTTGCGGAAGAACTGCGCAATGAAATTGTGCATTTCAACCGTGGCCAAGTTCTTCCCTACGCAGCTTCTGCTTCCCATGCCGAACTGTAATCGCGTTAGCAACCTTTGCTGCCCTTTCTGATTACCACACAGGGAAGAGACTTGGACGTGTTCTTACCGTTGTCAAATGGGAGTTCCAATACTTGATCTTTTCTTCATGGTTTGCATCAGTCGCAATCCATCTCTCAGGCTTCCACTCATCAGCGTCTGGGCCAAATATCTCCAGCGACCGGTTCATCGAAGCGGGACTTATGCCACATATCGTGCCTTCAGGCACTGCCACGTCATCGAGTTGCAAGCCTCCGGGACCAACCACGCGTGGAAGTTGATACTGAATAGAAGGGTGCAGTCTTGTACTCTCTTTGATGACGGCGGATAGGAACGGCAATTTGGACGACTCTAAGAACTCGATGTCTCGCCCTGTCTTCTCAAGTCCCAAAGAGCAATACGCTTCATCGATCTCAGCCTGGAGCCGAACTACCGCTTCGGGATGAAGAAGAAGCGAGCCCAGCGTGGCAAGAATGCCAATAGTTGTCGTATCTGCTCCGGCGCCCAGAATATTGACGCCTTCCATCATTACATCGCCCTTTGTGACCGGCTGCCCTGCCATATCTTTGGCATCGATGAACAGCTGTAACATATCTCGCCGCTTGAAACCAAGGCCATTTCGGTAGCGCTCGTCAACGCGGACCTCTAGCCAGTCCACAAATCTAGAGAAGGCCTGGAGCCGTTCGCCGCCAAAGGACCTAAGGGCCCACTGCGCGATGCGATTGTTGAACCACACCATTTGGAATGGCATGTTGCCCATGTTCGCCATGAGCCAAAAGCCGTCGTGGATTGACCGGATGATACCGTCAACATCCTTTCCCTTCTCGATGAAACCGATAGGGCCGCCCAAAGCCAGGCTACCAACCACGTCAAAGGCGAAGTAGTTTGCCCACTCATCCATGCGAACCGGAGCATTCCTATCGGCAAACTCTCCCATTTTCTGCCACATAGAGTTTGAGACATCTTGTATCAAGGGCTCCATGGATTGAATAGCAGTCATGGAGTACCCGGACGAGACGCGAGACCGCAGATGCCGATGAGTCTTGATGTCCCTGACGGCGAAGAAACTCATACTCATGTTGGGAACGGTCCAAGTGTCGTACCATTTGCTCTGTGATCCACAGTCAGATAACAGACTTCACATAATGGCAAGCTTCTGGTTGGGGCTCGGGTTCCTGACCTTGACAACTTTCTGACCATGGCCGTATAGTGCTTTCAGCCCGGCTTCATCGACAATGCTCAACTCGTTTGGGGCAATTCGGACGACTTTCCCGTACTTCCGGTGCAACAGGACGACATCTTGGTGCCATGTCCCTCGAAAGTACTTGTGGGATCTCCAGGCCTCGCTGAAACGGGCCAGCCATGGCCCTGGGACACTGCTGAGAGGACGGAAAAACACGGTATATATGGTCGAAGAGAACCAGAGGAGTAGAACAACCGCAAACACCATCACATAACTCCAATTACCCATAATGTCCCTCGCAGAGGACATGTAACCATCACGTGGTAGGCTCAGAGACTGTGTCGAGACCAAGTTCATTGTTTTTGCTGCGTGGATAGTACTGATCAGATTTGGAAATATAACCTCACATGGGTGAGTCCGTTTGATACCAAGATAGAGGCTTCCTTTGACAACTCCGTCATACTGCTGCGCGAATACACCATAAACTTATATGGAAGATTCACCCCGGGCAGTACTCTCAACTGGATATGGTTGATCAGCCATAGTGGCTTTCCTGAAAGCATGTTGCATAGGAACGTATCGCCAGAGGATTAGTACGGGATTCAAAGCGTTGCCCGTGGGGTGTGGAGTTTGCCGGCAAGCATAATGAAGAGACGTCGGAGCAAACTCCACACCCCACGGGGAACGCTTTCTATCTCGCACCCAATTCTTTCAATCGATGGACACTAATCGCAGGAGGCTTCGGTAACTGGACTGGCAGCGACAAGCATAGTGGTGAGAGTTTACCGGTGCCCCGCACTCGGAGATAGTTTCACTTACACGGGCAGTAGAGCGGCGGTTTCGATGCGGAGTTGTGTGGGGAAAATCCCGAGAGGGTGTGCTGCATCGGCAGGCTCATGACCTCGGCCTCGGGATTGGGGCGGATGTTGTAACCGCAGGTAGAGGATGAAGCACTTGAAGTATGTTCAATCCGTATCTATAAGACAACATGAACGCGTTGTGGTACCATGAGTGAAAGCTTACTACTAAGCTCTTTCTTCCTTGCTCTGAAACTAGTTCATCGCGCCACGCACCAACAAGCGATCTTACAGCACTTGCTGGCCGGATACTTCAGCGTCATACAAAATGCCTTGCCCTCAACCTCGTCGTCTTCCCCCCGGCTGGAACGCCAATGACTTTGAGCGTTTCGTGGAGTCCGTAGTCCCAATCGTAGGGGCAGAGAACCTCGACATCATCTCCGCAGACAAGGAGCTGGCCGATGGAGACTACGTCAACCCGTGCAAGTCTCACGACATGCACGCCGTCTATGAGAGGGACTTTTTCGTATCGTGCGCCATTGTCAATCCCAGGTCTGTCCCCGAAGTCCAAGATGTGATGCGGCTTTGCAACCAGCTGCAGATGCCTGTCTGGCCCTTTTCCATTGGCCGCAACACGGGGTACGGCGGCGCAGCACCGCGAGTTCCAGGCAGTCTCGGCATTGAACTCGGAAAGCATCTCAACAAGGTCCTCGAGGTAAACGTCGATGGAGCTTACGCTCTCGTCGAGCCTGGGGTCACCTTTGCTGGTCTTTATGAGTATCTTGTCAAGACTGGCCTCAGCGAACACCTGTGGCTAGATGTACGTTCTTCTTTTGCAAGGACCATGGAAGCGGTTTTCTGACCACGGATTTAGGTGCCTGATCTTGGAGGTGGCTCAATCATTGGTACGAATCACGGCTTGCCTACATATAGTCCTCGACTGACGTACACGTGCAGGGAACACTCTTGAGAGAGGTGTCGGTTACAGTAAGCGCTGAAGGCTGGCCTCAACCATGACCCGTATTTGTAGGCTGATTACTTTGGGAATCTTGCAGCGCCTTACGGAGGTAAGATGTCGTCGAGAAGACTGTTGTACTAAGTTGATCATACCTCTGATTCTCAGCAGATCACTTCATGATGCATTGCGGTATGGAGGTCATTCTCCCCGACGGCACCCTCATCCGCACTGGCATGGGAGCGCTTCCGGACCCGTCTTCAGGGAATTCAGACCTTCCGCCCCATGAACAGAAAGCAAATTCTGCTTGGCAGCTGTTCAACTATGGGTTCGGCCCTTACAACGACGGAATCTTTTCCCAGAGTAGCCTTGGCATCGTTGTCAAAATGGGAGTGTGGGTGAGTCAACCATGTCTTTCTCCTCAGTAACCTGATCCTTGACCAAGAGTACATGTGCTGACAGTAACCGTGAAAGTTGATGCCGAATCCTGGAGGATATCAAGCCTACATGATCACATTCCCTCGCGAGGATGACCTGTCAGAGATCGTAGATATTATCAGACCGTTGCGGCTAGTAAGTTGAATACTTCCGTCTCTCGATTAATTGATCGACCTACGGAGACTGACGAGAATAATGCCCACAGCAAACAGTCATTCAGAATGTGCCCACTATTCGTCATTTACTTCTGGACGCCGCCGTAGCTGGTAATAAGGCTTCTTATACGAACAAGACCGAACCACTATCCGATGAAGACCTTGATGCGATCGCAACCAGACTAAATCTTGGTCGCTGGAACTTCTACGGTGCTGTCTATGTAAAGAACCTCTTTAAGATCCTTTCGGGCGCTGTTCACAGAAACAGTGGCTAATCCCTATCGCGATAGGGCCCGGAGCCTGTGCGGAGATTCTTTCTTGATACCATCAAGGCCGCTTTCCTAAAGGTTCCCGGCTCAAAGTTCTTCCTAGCGGAGGATCGAAACGAACCATACAGCGTCTTGAAGACAAGGGAGAAGACCTTGCGAGGCGTTCCTTCCCTGGACGAGCTTCGTTGGGTGAGGTATGTGTCTAGCCAGCATCCTGTCATATCTGGCCTATCCTGACCTTGACATCATAACTCAATATTGTCCAGTTTACTGATCATTGTTACAATAGCTGGCTACCAAATGGTGCGCATCTATTCTTTTCGCCCATCACAAAAATTTCTGGGACGGACGCCAAGCTCCAATACGAGGTCACGAAGCGCAGGTTCGCAGAGGCTGGGCTCGACTTTATTGGCACCTTCACCATTGGTATGCGAGAAATGCGTGAGTGCCCTCTATTACTTCAGCCAACCTCGTTATATACACGATACTGAGAGAGTTTGCAGACCACATTGTGTGCATTGTCTTCAACCGCGAAGACCCTCAGCAGCGCTCGAAAGCGCGATGGTTGATCCGGCAACTGATCCAGGACTGTGCAGAACGTGGCTGGGGCGAGTACAGAACACATTTGGCGTTGATGGACCAGATCGCAAATACGTATAACTTCAACAACAATGCTCAGATGAAGCTCAATGAAAAAATCAAGAATGCGCTGGATCCGAACGGCATTCTTGCTCCTGGGAAAAACGGCATTTGGCCAAAGAAGTACGACAAACGGGAATGGGTGCTTCGAGATGATGAAGCAGACATGTTGTCTAGCGGTAGGAATCGCGTTATAAAGAGTCACTTGTAGTAATGCCACAATCGCAGTCAAATACTGCTACGTATCATTTGAGCCACAGATGACCACACCCATTGACTTCAGCTCGTGGACGCCATGAAGGAGCTGACGACTCCGGGCCCGCAACCGGTCAGCCCTCAGGCACCGGAGGCTTGGCACATGCCCACCGAAGCCGTTGCGGCACCATTTAAATTGGCTTCGCACACCCAGGTCGCCGAAGTCCGGACCGCACACTAGGTGCCACCCTCCGTTCCGGTACCCACTTATGCGGGGTAAGAATGCCATCAGGCAAGCCGATGTGGCCCCCCACTGCGGTGACGAGGTCTCGTGAAGTGGATGAACCCCTCAACTCAGCCAACGTTAACTATCACGTTGTTCATAAACATGTAGGTGAAATAATTTGACTGTCACTGCTAAAGAATCTCTTTAGAAACGGTAGAGAGACAGGCGGGTGTTCTTTTCCCCCTTCCTTAGCTTCGACCGTCCCTCATCATGTCTAGATCATGAATAACCCCATGGCGTATTCTTTTAACAAAGTCGTTGGCAGTAAAGTCCCGTGCGTGGTTTTAAGGGAGAACCACAGGCGATGGTGCGACTGGTTCTCGGAGGAGCCCTCTCGATCCCTGCGGCGACTTCTACTCTCTTTGAGCCTTCCGAAGGGTGAACTCGACCAGCATCCTGGCTGTCTTGCAAGAGGCTGCTCGACTTATCCTTCCGGCTATATGAAATAGGTCTTGGCTGCTACTTGAGATTCTGAACACAATAAGGGTTATGTGGATCGTCGCCTTGACTACCAACGTAGTGATGCTTCATCTGGTGATTGCCGGCGGTGGCGGTTAACATTAGCTTGCTTCCCCGTGATCTTTTCAGCCTTTATATTATTCATTCATCAGCAAAGGCAGAAAATAGATCGAGTATTGTACATTCATGAGCATTTTACCCTCTCGTTGAATGTAGGTAAGCACTACTGACCAGGAGTGGTCGGTCACACACGTTCTTCAGCAAAGAAAATGCCTTGGTCCAAAGGAGTAATCTCCATAGTCATGTTCGTCACCAATCGACGAAGCTCACTTGATACGTTTGATATGTTGCTTGGTAAGGCAGAGTACTTAAAATGGAAAGGGTGTTCATCAACAACGCTCTAATTGAGCTACCTACCCTATGCAGCGACTTGTCACCACCCAGGACAAGATCCCAATATTTCCAAACGACTATATCCAATCTTTTCTCGAGCTTTGTGCCTTTGCCGACATGCCTAAGTCTAAATCAGCAGTCAAGTCCGGAAACACACCGTATCCCGGAGCCTTCTTGAACAGTGCCGGGCTATTGAATGTCTGGAAAACGATTCCTGGTTCTGCGGAAGATTACACAGTCGAGATCAAATTCCGCGAGTCAGACCATAGGCCAATCATTGCCGAGCGGATCAAGATTGTCGCAACTGGCCATTATGTCGAGACCAGAATGGCCTGGCTCGAGCCGTTGCATAGCACGGTCCCAAAGACTGGAAATGGCGATACTGGTATACCAAACCACTGTTACTCTCGAAGCGCTTGGTACGATGCGAAAACTCAAGACGGACCGTATGACCCGGAAAAGGCGCGTCCCGAAGGCGGCCAGTCTATCGAGTTCATCATCGAGGCCGCGACTATGGAGATGCGATGGTTGAGGAACCTAAATGACCCTCGCCAGCGATGGGATATGCTTACTCCGCTTCAAGGAAATGCTCATAATTCGGTCGAGACGGAGTCGTAGTGGGGGGATGAACTCGTCATGCTCCCTGAGGCTCCCACCTCATAGGAGATATTGCCGCGGGTAGGGTGCTAAGGCAGCTTTTGTCAGCCTGTTGCACGCACGTCTTCAACAAGACAGAATCAATCAAATGTTTAACTGTTTTGTTATTTATGT